GGCTAGGGTTATTTGTTTTAAACTTTTAACTCCTTTGGGCTTGGGTTCTTTTCCTTTTGTTTAAGGCCCACTTACCCAACCCCTCCTTGTTAAAACAAGCCAATAATATAATTTCGTAATTGGACCAATGGCCCAAAACAAGTGTCACATAACGGAATCCGTACTAAACCATAATTTAATAAATAACTACACGCGACTAACTCACCACTAATTCTGTAGCAATATACAATAACCGAGATGCCACACTTAAATTAAATAAAGATAACTGATGAATCAAATAAAATAAAATGAAATAAATAAGTAAAAATCTATTTTGTTATAAAAATTTCCCGGAACTCAAGGCAAGCTAATCTGAGTAACGCGGGGCGTTACACTCAAATAAGTTCAAATGTAGCTTATGCTCAAATTCAACCCCATCATGAGCCAATCATTATGCCACAAGGTCCAATCACAAGAGCTAGAGCTAAAAGACTACAAGAAAGGGGTTAATGGTCACTTCTTAGCTAAGGTGTTCACACTTGGTGAAGAGTTGCATCCGTTCAAGCTTGAAAATACATCTTGTCATCCAAGAAACTTCATGAATCTAAAAATCCGGATTCATCCACATATTTAATTTATTATGTATTTTTCAAGGGTTGTGTCTTTTCATCTAAGGGTTGTCTTTTCATTGTTTCTTTTCAATTACTATAAATAGGGATGTACATTTGCTTTTCAAGAACAACATTTGATGAATGAAAATTTCAGATTGAGTTTAATCTCTCTCAAGCTTTAAGCTTTCCTTGTATTCTTGTGTTTAGAATGCAAGTTTAGAACTTTCAATCTGTTTGATCAACTAGGTTGTGGAGAGTTCAAAATCTTGAAGATAGGAACAAGTTCTCTTTTCTTCTTGATCTTTGATCATCTTACCAAGCATAAATCTGTTTAGCTTTATTGGGGTTGGTTCATCATCTTGTTATTGGGGTTATTCTTGTTATTGTTGTGGCGGTTCACCTTGAATAGGGGAGTTCTCATGCATAATTGAGATAGTTCCTTTATCATTTGGTATCAGAGCTTTGGCTCTAAACATATTATATCTTATTCACTTTCCTTAGTTCTTCATCTTTCTTTCTTTCTTCATTCCATCGTTACATCTAGTTTCATCTTGCTTGACTCTTCATCTTCTCATATTTGATTCATCTTTTATCATACTTGCTGGAAAAAAAAAGGTTTGTTTTAAAGGGAAAAAAAGTGACTCTTCATCTTCTTTTGATTCACACCATTTCACTCATATTTCTTTCTTTTCCATTCCATTTTGCTTATTAGAAAACATTTGTGTATTTGTTTCTAAATTTTTTACTTTTGTGACTTTTCACATTTTATGCTATATTGAAGTGTTCTTGCATGATTCTCAAACAATACTATAAAGACTTGCTAAAGTTTGGGATATTAGAAGTCAGAATGTTTTACCAAAGGCGAAGACGTTGTGAGAATCACGTTAGTGAGGACCCGTTTTGGAAGTCTATGAGAGATAATTTTGCTGAAATGCGCAAATCCATGGAGTACATTTCAATGTTAAATCAAGAATTGAAATTGAGGGACCAAGCCAAGGAGAGACAAACTGCACAATTCGTTCAAATGGAGGAAGATTTTTCCGAGCCTCAAGAGGATAACAAATCAATGTAAAATGAGAGAAAACATCCAAATCTCCAAAAGCATGATTCGAACAATATTGAGGTCGTTATGTATGATGTCGAAGAGGAAGATTCAAATGATGAGATTGTTATGTGTGATGCTCAAGAGGAAGATTCAAATGGTGACGTTGTTATGTTTGATGAGAAGACAACCGAAGATTGTAATGAGTTATGCTCTAAAAAAGAGGTGGAAACAAAAGTAGTAGAAACAAAGGACGGTGAAAAAAGTGACAAATGAGAGAAAAGTGTTGATGACCATATTATTTTGGTTACGAGAGTTTCTGAAGCTAGAATTATTTTGTTTTCAAAACGACATATACATGAGCTTGTAAAAGAACGAAGTTACTTTCTAACGGGTGCACTTAAACCAAGTGTACCAAGATTTTCTTTTGAATTTTTGCAGAAAGTTAAAGTTCTCGTTGAAAAGAAAAATTCAAAAGTTGTTTTTAAAAAGAGCCAATTTCATTCACATGGGACATATGAGTCTAAGAGGCTGCACAAAAAGCATCATTCCAACTTCACTTCCTACCACATCCAAGACAAGAAATTCAAAGCGGAGGGGGATCCAAGTAGTACGAGACCATGGAATGCACATGACTTCAAATTTGCCATGCAAGGAGATCCTTTAGATTCGAGGATGAATCTTTTCGAAGAATGGGAGAATGATATAGAAATGAGTGATCACGGAGTGCACGAGGAAAGCCTACAAGAGGAGCAAGCTCAAATAAGCTCAAATGTAGCTTATGCTCAAAGTCAACCCAATAATGAGCCAATCATTATGTCACAATGTCCAATCACAAGAGCTAGAGCTAAAAGACTACAAGAATGGTTGAATGGTCACTTCCTCGCTAAGGTGTTCACACTTGGTGAAGACTGACACGACCCGCCCTAAACACCTACTAGCTATAGGACAAGCCGAGCCGACCACAGACCTCCAACCAACTACCGAGTCTATAGTCAACTTCTTTTTAAATTTCTAAAACTAATTTAGGTTATTCTTCAATATATAAAACATAAAGTGTACATAATTCAATTCCGAAATAACTATTTGGCCACGACTTCTAAACATGCTGTACAACCACAAAAGGTACAACTACTCTAACATAAGTCATTCTAGATGTATATACAAAACGATATGCAAGTTCTGAGACGATGAGTGGCAGAAACTGGTCGGCTTTCTCTTTAAAACTCAGGTGCAGCCTGGTGGAGAAAAACAATGATAAACAGTGAGCTTGGAAGCTCAGTGAGTGGCATTTTAATAAGAAAAGAGTTTCGTAAAACTTCTTCCATAAAAACAACTGAAATTTCAATTCTTAAGACGAGCTTTCTAAAAACATATACTTTCTAAAATACACTTTCTGAATACGTATCAAATATCTTCTTTAGCCTCCTTTAGCCTTAACTGCTGGTACCCCGAACGCAAGTCTATCTTCGAGAACACCTTCGCCCCCTGAAGCTGATCAAAAAGGTCATCAATTCGTGGTAGGGGATACTTATTCTTAACCGTAACTTTGTTTAGTTCCCTGTAATCTATACAAAGTCGCATAAAACCGTCCTTCTTCTTAACAAAGAGCACGGGCGCACCCCAAGGGGACACGCTTGGGCGGATGAAACCCTTGTCGAGTAATTCTTCCAACTGTAGCTTCAGCTCTTTCAACTCTGCCGGAGCCATTCGATAAGGTGCTTTCGAGATGGGAGCCGTCCCTGGCAATAACTCTATACAAAAGTCCACTTCGCGAGACGGAGGCAAGCCGGGGAGGTCCTCAGGGAACACGTCAGTGAACTCATTAACCACACGAACCGCCTCAATGCTTGGCACAACCTTCCTTGCATCCACAACGCTAGCCAAATAGGCCCAAGCACCACGCTGGAGATGATGGCTGGCCTTCAATGCCGACACCACCCTTGGGACCCTGGCCTTAACTCCTTTAAAGGTAAAGTTTTGTTCGGAGGGCAGGCGAAAACTAAATTCCTTCTTCGAGCAATCAATATTAGCCTGGTTAGCAGCTAACCAATCCATGCCTAGTATCACATCGAAATCTTGCATATCCAGTTGGATTAACTTTACCTCCAAGGTCTGACCATCGAAAGAGAGCTGGCCTCCTTTCACCATTTGACTAGTGACCAACACAGATCCTGACGGTGTGGATACCGATAACAAAAAGCCTAACGATTCTAGCTCTAGGTCCGCATGTCGAACAAAGGTAGAAGCAATGAAAGAATGACTAGATCTAGAGTCAAATAATGCGTAAGCAGGCATACTAAGCACTAAAACAGTCCCTGCAAAAGTAACACACATGCAATAAAGCACAAGCATATACACACAACTCAAGACTCGCAAAGAGGAGGTACCTAAGACCACCGCCTCGGCATGCGCAACATCCCCCCTGGTGAGAGCGAAGACGCGCGCCCTATGGGTCCCACCTTGAGCTGCCGTTGTCACTGGGATCCTCTGGCCTAAACCTTGGGTATTCGGGCCGGTCATCGGACACTCCCTTGCGAAATGTCCTTCCTTCTGGCACCTGTAACATATTATTTTTCCCAACCAACATGGCCCAACATGGCTCTTCTTACAAGAGGGGCACACCGGAGGAGCAGTCTGCCTTTGCACATGATGCTGGTGTCCTCTTGAGGGTTGACTGGAGGAGAACGATGCAAATTTCCTCTTAACCCCCGAGCTGGAGCCCATCACCTGCTGAGACTGAGGCTCCTCGAGACATTTGTCCATAACCAACGCACACCTGACTGCCGCTGCATATGTAGTTGGTTCCTTGAGAACAAGTAGCCCCTTGATCTCCCTATGCAAACCGTCAATGAACTTGTCAATCTTTAATTGCTCAATAGGAATATATTGCATTCTGAAACGGGACAGTTCAGTGAACTTCCTCTCGTATTGGGCCACAGTTAGGCTTCCTTGAGTGAGACGGAGAAACTCTGCCCGTTTTTCATTCCTGACAGTCACGGGGAAATAGTACTCATAAAGTAGGTCCTTAAATCTTGCCCATGTGACGGGTACGTTGGCATGATCCTCTGCTGTCGCCACCGACTCCCTCTAATTTACTGCTTCTCCCCGAAGCATAAACACTGCTCCCTGGACCTTGAAATCGTCGGAGCATCCCAAATACACATAAAGGGCTTCCAACTCCCTGACCCATTCCTCGGCCGCAGTAGGCCTCTCACTCACCCCGTTGAAAACGGGTGGCCCAAAGCGTTTGAAATCCCTGATAAACTGCACCTCCTCTTGCGGAAATTGTGCCCGACGAGGCTGCTGCACTTGAGCTCCACCGGCTCCATTCTGCATTATCCAGCAATACTTGCAATGCCTCAGCTAGTAACGCCACCTGGGGATTCACCTGGGGAACTCCCTGAGGAGCTGCCTGAGGAACCAGGGGTGCTACCCCTCCAGGAACTGCCGAGGGAACATTTGGATCCGCTGCTCCCTCACCCCTAGGATTCGGATCCTCGTAGTTGTGAGCTCTCGTGTTCCGTCGAAAAGCCATTGTCTAAGGAACAGAGAACAGAGAACCAAGGTCATTATCGCACTAACCGGGGCACAATACAAGTGCAAAGCTCAAGCAAGTCTATATAATGAACCAAGGAAACACACCGACCTATCTAATATCAGTCAATAATAATATCTCAACCATAAGCAATGTAAGACATTCATGATCAAACAAACAGAACTAGGAAACGTACCTGGTGATGAAGAGGAGACTGACAAGGACCATACACTAACGACCTAGATTCTAGGACAGTCTACAGGAACAACTCCGCTCTGATACCAATTGTAAAGACCCAAAATTTCCCACACACTTCGAGGTCACGTTAACTACCCAACTGATTAAACTTAACCCCAAACACGTCATGCCAACTCCCTGTGCAACAATCATATAAAATCAAGTTCCACTTCTCATCAATTTAACAATAAATCAATTTCATAGAATATCGGTCAACAACATTCGTGGACAACCTCACGAGGCGATTTTATTATTCAAACTAGGCAAAACTAAAGGAATGGAAGAAAACTGAAATAGGCACCATCCCGAAATAAAATTAACAACAAGTGGGAACCTCCCAATTATTCAAATACGAACAAATAGTTTATTGACCATAACATAAGGTCTTAACTAATAACTTAAGCTAAGCAAGAGTGACTAACCAGCCTATGGTCCTCGCTCGTCATGTCTCCTCCGTCTCATCACTATGGTCGCCAACGAGTCCCTCACCTGAAACAATAATTGTAGAGGGGGGGTGAGTATATAAAATACATTCCGTAAGTAGCCCTCACCAACAGCGCATACACATCATGCTCAACTAAATCATGAAACACTCATAGTCATGCTTTTCAACACATTATGCATTCAAACATAGACACATTATATGAAATCCGGTGACAACCACAACCAGGAACACATTAACTACCAACCTCTAGTCTCCCTAACATCTCAAGTACCTCTACGCTTATCACAGCTATCCTAGCCTTCCACAGTTAACTCCTTCGAGTAGAGTCGGCCCCTGACCACTTTTATCCAGAGCCCCGACACTACCGCATCGGCCCTCGACCATTTTTACCCAAGGCCCCGATGACTTCACCATCTATTGGCCCTTGGCCATTTCTACCCAAGGCCCCAATAACTTTCCTTCTAAAGGACTCCTCGCATCGACCCTCGACCATTTTTACCCGAGGCCTCGACACTCAATTAGTGACGTATCTGCCCCCGACCATTTATACCCGAGGCCCTAACACTCACCCATTCACTTTCTCCGAGAATCCAACTCTCCCAGAGTCTTACTATGTACTTTCTTAAGCCATGACCCATACGTCCTTCAGCTCACAACCGATTCAGCATGYTTCCACAACMTAAACCACTTTCTAATAATGAMATAATAATAACYCAATCATGCTTAATATCCAACATCAATATTTAGCAAGCATTACTAAGTATAATAACTCACGAAACACGCCGAACAATTCATACATAWTCAKACAACAAACATTTCCACAGCAATACTCAAYAGTTTAGCAAAGCARAAATCTCACCATTTTCACCGACAAATATTCAACACTACTCCAAGCATATCGACTAACACAACGAGAGTTATTTAGCGCAATGACGTATCAAAATTAATATTAAAC